CTGTTGTATGTCCATATAACTACTTCGCAGGGTGTAGATGGATGGATCTTCATCAAGATTGGTATTGAGGTTCATTAGATTCATGCGGAGATATATACAGATTTTCAGTTTTGCATTTTGCGGTTTTTATGGGAGTTTTTGTTACCATTATTTCGCCCCCCGTAAATGGATCTTTACCAAATTTGGCATGAAGGTTTTTTTTTGAGTCCATGCAGACTACGAGCAAATGTGCGGTTTTATATTTTGTGTTTTGAAGTTTTTAGGGGCATTTTTTACAATTACATATAAGGGAAGCAAATTTTTATGTCCTAAGATAACCTTTCATTAATCATGAATTTACATAACTTCTGTCCAGGGGACGGGTATAACAGCTAGTAATAGAATAATATTTCCTTTGTATTATCTAGGGATGCTAATATTGTCATTGATAATTTCGGAAGTATCATACCAATGATATTACATCTAAAAGATAAAGCAGATTAAAAGCATGTTAAAATCGAATCTATAGTCGAAAGCTGTTCAATGACAATTTAAAATTAATTAACTTAACATTCAAATAGATTCTGAGTTTCACATTATCTTTCTCATTGAAACAACTATAGCTCAACAATATGAACTTGTTGTTTAAGACTGATAACGCAGATAAATTGATATGCAGAATTATACACGGACTTCATCGGGCAACAATGTACTGACTTAGTACACTGTTGCCCGATGAAGGCTCCAGTAAGAGAGCCGAAAGCTCGCAAATGAAATTATTTTAACGTAGAGAATTATTTTAACGTCTGTGTATAATTTTACAAATATGAACTTTGCACACGGCGAGTAAGCATTGAAAATATGTACTCATAAATACATTGCTGTGTTTATTGTTAGGCAAAGGTTTAGGATATTTTGAATAGGTTAAAATATATTTACCTGGTGGTTTATCGTTTTTATGATTCAATTCTGAATTTCAAAAATTTCTTTAGTTTGTTTGTTATTGGTAAGACACGCTGAGACCCCTTGCGGAATTTCTAATAAGAAATTGAGGAAATTTTAGCCAGCAAGTAATAATATTTTGTGGTTTTCGATGAATGATAATGATACAAATATTTAACTTACTTCAAAAGACATACATGAAACAGTTTAACATCATATTTAACTTTCACTTCAATATCAATTACGTAATATATAACTTACTTCAAAAGACATACATGAAACAGTTTAACATCATATTTAACTTTCACTTCAATATCAATTACGTAACATATAACTTACTTCAAAAGGCAAACATGAAACAGTTTAACATCATATTTAACTT